TCGCGACTAGAGTCGTGGAACGAATTAAGTTTGTGACCCAAGGTACCACTGTATATGACGCTTCAGCATATACAGCATTTTCCTACAAGTTTATTCTAGGGAAGTATAGTTTGAATATTTACATTTCAAACATAATTTTAAAAATGAAGTAGTTATTTTTGACAGTTTTAAATTGTCAACAAAACCTGCAACCAGACTCTTTGTAAAATCTCATCTTTGCTCTAGGATTAAACTGTTTGTAAGGGATACTGCCTGGCTGATCTTCATATATCTGTGTTATTAAACTGAAGTAAAAATAGTATTGAGGCTGTGCCAAGGGTAAATAGTAAATAGCATTAGAAATTTGCTACTTCCGAGGCATATGGATTGCTCTCCTTTGTCTGAAATGAATATGTTCCATCATCAGAAGGTATAAAATCTACTTTTGTTTGTTTTTAAGTTTACTGAAATCTTTTTTGTGTGTCTCTGATAAGTTTTTGTTTGTAGACCCATTATTCACATAGTTGTCCTTTCTTCAAGCCACTGACTCCTTTTGAACTGTTGATAATTAACTTTGGACAACTCTGTTGTGTGGGAAAAGTATGGTTTGAGAAAATGTGCAAATAGTTTTGTGGATAGAAGGATGGTTTCAGTTTGAAATCTCTGCTTTGAAATAATGGAAGTAGCAGGCTCTGCATAAAGGGCCAGTTGCAGAAAAAGAACAAACCCCTGGAAAATTCTCCTTTAACTTTGGCATTTTTATCCTCCCTAGGATTCAAAGCTGCCATCATCTGTTAGAAATACACTTCTGGAGCTTTTTGGTCAAATAGAAAGAGAATTTGAGAATCTCTACATTGAGAATCTTGAATGTGAGTTTATGTTTGTGCAATTTTGGGGGGAAAATGTGAAGTTGAAATAAGATGCTGATAAAGGATGCTAGATGCAAGACTAATTCTGGATCTCTGTTCCCATAAATTATATTGTCAACCCCATGTGAACTCTGAATGGTCAGTTAAAATGTTCAAGTTACCTGAAATAGAAGCCTGTGTGCTTACTTGAGATCTCTTATACCAATGCTGATTAATCCTGGGATAGATAGCCTGATGCACGTTGGCTCATTTGGCCTAAAATTCCCATAATCCTTTCCATTGCCTATATTAGTTGGGATTGATGGAATTTATAATCCAAAATTTCAATTGCCTATACATTTGATCCCTCTTAATTCAAATCTTACTGAGATCATTCAGATATGTTGGTTTTTGTATCTGTACTGTAATGCTATTCCATTTTTTATAAGTTAGGTATACTGAATTCTTGATTCTTGCAAGCAATGATTATGAATCGCTGCTTTAAATAGCAGTTATATTTTATCTTTGTAACAAATTTGTTCAAGAGGTAGTATAGAAATAGTAATAAGAGATGAGGAATACTTTATTTCCCAAATAAGTCATCTATGGAAGTTATCCTCATTTTGTCTTCAGGAATATATGAGAAAGGGAGCACCCTAGTCTCCATTATCTCACTGGCTGCATCCTAAGACTGTTGTCCATTGGTACTAGGTTTGAAAGGGAAGCTTGTTTCCATAGGTTTTCTAGCTAGCTCAGGAACCCTATGTGATTTGATTTCCAGCCTTGGGGAAGAGCCTCTTTGCATTCATCTGAACTTTGATTCCCCTTTCAGGCATTCTGTTGGCTTGGGAGTGAAGATCAGAGACCATGGCTTTTGGGGGCCAGCATGTATAGCTTAATTCCCCCTCCCTTGGTCTTGGAATGCATGGGGGATCATTTTAGAACTATTTTGTATGTGTGTGTTATGTAAATAGGGGCTGGGTATATCTACAAACATCTTGATACATTTATAAATCCTCCAATTGAGGAATGACAGAAGCTCTTATCATTACTTGTGTTTATTAATAAGCTTCTGTTTGCAGATATCCATACTGGATACTGGTTATGTTATGTTTATTGTTTCTAGTTTGGAATGGAGTTACATGCAGAGACAAGTTACTTGGCAAGCAGTGGTTTCCTGAGTCTGGAAGGGAGATACCAAGCCTTTCCTTCCTGAATTTTCATTTAGTTTTACTGATGGATATTTTGCATCAGCATGAATTCCTTAGAAGCAGTGATTTTAGAACCAAGACCTGTTGACAGAGCTTTATCCTAGATTTGGAAAGTTAATTGCCCTCACATTATGTATCTTTGTAATTGTGGTATGCAAAAAACATGGTAGATGGAAGCTAGAGGTTATGATCCTGCACATAATGGCCTTTGAGATAAGGGTTATGCGGTAATTTAAAAATTGTGATTAAATGATTCTTCTTTGCATTGACATTAATTTTTGTGCTACTGATAGTACGCAGAGAGATTGATACACTTAATGAACGCTTAGCAGCTGAAGGCCAAGCCATTGATGGAGCAGAATTGAGCAAGGGGCAGCTGAAAACAAAAGGTAAGAAGAGAGTTGAGAAAAATACTCCTCTCTTAGTTGGTTTTTCATAATTTAGGATGACAACCGGTTAGAAGGATATTAACAATCAAATGAGGTAATCAAGTGTGTTTCAAAACAAACTTCCTTTAAATGTATTTGTTTCAACAGCCAGCCATAGTACCAGTCAGCTCTCTCAGAAATTAAAGACTACTTACAAAGCATCAACTAGCAAGGTATGAAACATGTTGATCCTTTTATTGAACTATAGTATACTTATCAGTTTAGTTTTGGCAACTTTGTATTACTGTCTATCTACATGAGGTTGAGCCTTTTCAATTTGGTGCCATCCAGATGTAGTCCTATCTCATCTTGCAGAGGTTGGTGGGAGAGGTTATAGGAGACAGTGATCAAGATTAGCCAAACAGTTGCCATTTTGTCTTGTCCTTTAGTAATAATTCAATAAATAAACGCTTAAGAAAAGGAAAATAGAAAATAGATGTCAAAGTGAGGTTTATAGTAAGTTGTCAAGGGATTTTTTGGAAGATGCAAAGAAAACAAATTGTTAATATTTTGATTGTGAGAAATTCTTTAGCAGTTAATTGTAACTTGGAACACTTTAATTGTTGTTAAATCCATTTTGCTCATTAGTTCATAATCATTATTTTTATTTTGGTCCTTTTCCAAATAATTGGGTTGCATCTTCTGATGGTAGCTATCATTAACCTGATTTATACTTAGAATTATCAGGCATGTATCAGCTGTAAAATGTTCTTACTACCTGCAAGTAATTTACATCTATGCAGGAAAGTAGATTATCTAGTAATATTCTCTTTCACACTTGGAAATTATCCGAACTGTATAAACCAACCTAAACTAGTATCCACTAAGTACGTCAGGATAGCAATTTTTCAAATTCCTAGAATTTTCTGAGAATTTTGGAGTTGTACTTCCAGTACATCTGGAGAATACCATATTGGGAAAATAGGGTGATGGGAAGAGATTTGGGATGTTTTGAGCAATTTTTAATCTGGTATTCTTGGTGCACAATTTGTAGTATCATTAAATTCTCTATTTTCATTAGATTAAATAAGCAGTAATTTATTTTCAACAGAAACGACTCCTGGCAGTTTACAAAATAAAAACAGAGTAAAAACATAACAGCTAACATACAAAGTTTAAACATTTGATTCTTACAAGTATTTTTTATAAAAATTCAAATTATTTCTATTTGACAATCAATTGTGCACAGATTGGTTATTTTTTTAATAGAAGACACCTTTGTCTTTTGTCTTTCTGCAATATTTACTGTCAGTATGCATTTATAGGTTGGAAATGCATCTTCCTCTGTATTCTATTAATGTTTTCTTTAATCTATTAAAAAAGTAAGAGTGTTCAGTTTCTAGATTATCATTCCAATAAGTATGTATATTATTAAGTGTGCCTTGTAAATTTGCTACTCTTTGAAAGCGAGTGCTGAATACCTATTTCTTCTTACTTGCTATGTAGCGCTCAAATTCTTTCCCAGGCAGATCAGGTGGACCTCGCAAATTCCACGTGGGAAGCTGGGAAATATGGGGTGGCGACTCCTGGGTAACTGCTTTGCTTCCCAGTGTGCCAGTCTGCATGCCCAGCTAAATAGTAGCGAGTGGTGGAACATACAGAATCTCATTTCGACCAGTTTTTCTTCATGGATATTATATCTGTCAACTGGTGCCCATTTGGAGGACTTTCTACTGCTCATGTTTAAGTATTGCTTATAGATATCAACTGTTAGCAGAAGCAATGTTTCCTGGTTACCATTTTAATGGATCACACTCCCTGAGATTGGATAGGCTACAATTTTTATTACTGCAGGCATAGTCTCTAGCTTGGCACAGTGCCTGCACATTATGTCTCCCTTCTTTGTTGCTGCTTAACAATCTCGATTCAGTTATGATTTTAAAAGTACTTAGTTAAAAACACTTGATTTAAAAAAAAGGTCCAATTAAAGCGAATAATTTAGTCTGACTTCTAAAAACATAATTAAAACTATAACTCCCCCCCCCCAAACTGTATGCAGACAGGACAGCAGTACTATCAAAAGACAAAAACATAACTTAACTAGAAGCCTAGGTAAATAGGAATGTCTTGAGCAGATGCCAAAAACTTGGAAGGCCCAGCACATGTTATAATTGACCAGGGAAGAGTTCAATAAATAAATATATTTATTTATAAATATATAAATTATATAGCTTGCTATCTGAATGTTTAAGTAGCTGTTGTGATACTGATTATCCTTAAATGCAAGGTCTGTACATATCCTACTCATTTGGTCAAGAAATCTTCACATTTCTCTGTCCCCAGTGGCTCGATGCATATCACAAGGTTTGATGGGGGTGAGGAGACTCTATTATGAACTCTGGGGGTCCTCTCTAGGTCTATCTCTTTAACATAGTGTAGTTCTGTAAATTGCCTGAGCTGTTTATAAAAGAGAATTAGCTTCCTTTGAGATTTCAGAAATAGGAGTATTTCAACAATCTTTTGCTATAGTATGGTGAAAATGTTTAAAATAATGCTTTGTAGTATTGATTGCTGTAACAACAACAACAACAACAACAGTAATAATAATGCCATCCATGTTAACCAAATTCACATAATATAAGAATAAAATAAAACCTAAGAATTGCACAGCTAATTTTAGGTGGTTGGTGAGGATTTCAGGGACAATAATTCCTGAAATACATGGCAAACTACATTCCTGAAATATGTGGCAAATTGTATTTAAAACTGATTGGAACCTGTAAAGCAGGTAAAGCCAGTAATGGTTGGTTACGTGTAATTCCTGAACACATTTTCTGTGGCTGCCAAACCTTGCTGCTGAATGCCAGTGGTGAATGGCCTATAAATGTGTTTCTTTAGCCTTTCTTTAAGCTTAACTCACTAAAAAATGAAATGAAAAATATATTTAAAAATCAAGGAGAAAACTTGAGAACATTGGTTCTACCCATGTAGAGTTATGCTCATGGGGGCTCTTGCTTGCTCAAAATAAATAAATAATGATAATGAAAAAGTCCAAACTTCAGTTACCAAGAGGTTGCCTGGCCCTGCTGTAAAGATGGTAATAAACTCTGTTATTGGAAGTTCCTCCAAGGAGATTTTTGTCACTTTGGAAATGCAAATTTGTGTTATTTAAACACCATATGTTTGTGACCAAAACACACATGAATCGTTAAATGAAAGCCAAGGCAATTGTTACAGGAGTCTACATCATAATGGTTCCTCTTGCATTAACTTCCCAGACTGAAATTGTGAGTGGGATGATTATTTTAAGAAAGTACCTATCAATGAATTTGCATTTGAAAACTTTGAGCATTTGAAGGGGGAAGTCTCTCCTTTGCTAACCAGGAAACAGTCTAGCTTTTGTCTTCTGCTGCTCACAGTAGCATATGTACTGCTTTTGGAATGTGTTCACTTAGTTCAGATTAGTCAATAGCATGTGCAACTGGTTGCCCAGAACTCCTTGACCTTGCTACCACATGATTGGGGTTCCTCAAGAACACTTATATTTCTTTAAGTCACATTTTTCCCAGGAGGAAAATTTTAAAAATCCCATTTCATAGTATAAAATGACAAGACATTCTAAACTCTTGTTTATGTATAGAACCTAAGAATTGAAATGGAAATTTTAATAGTGGTTTAAATATGCATATTAGTATGATTTCCTTGCCCTCTTTGCTGAACATAGCTTGGTGACCATTGCACTGGGACAGCGGCTGGCTCCTTTCTTCATGCTTTGATTGATGCAGAGTAGAAGGCTTTGATACTGCCCTGCTGCTGTTTGTGAAATTTCAAAGAACACTTCTGTTATTGTTTTAAAAGTAAAAGGGAGCCCAAAATATGAAATGGCATTAAAGAGGATATTTTGGGGGAAGAGGGGAATATGCTGCAGCCCCTGAAAATTAAACCAGTCAATCACAGAGGTATAAAAGGTTTTCTGAGGAAACTAAAACAATTTTGATAATTCGTTTTACTCCTCTCTATGTCTTATTAAAACTGATAAGGTATGCGAGACCTGTTGTGGTAATATATTCTACTGTTCCACTACTCTTACATAACTTCATTTTGTTTGAAGATGTGTATTAAATTTCAATTGAATTTTAATACTGCCTTGACAGTTTTATGCTTAATTCTACACTATGGTTCAAGTACTAATCCCTTCCTAGTTCTGCAAGAATTAACCTGTTCCTTTTGCGGTGCATCTGTAGTAATTATTGCTTACACTGGCTTGGAAACAATTCTTCTCATTAACAACTAAGTTATGGTTTCATCTAGGCCTCATTTCATTATTGTAAAGATTAATAAAGAGGAAAAAGCTGAAAACGACTTATACTGTTGCAGCTTTTTCTAGTCCTTAAATTTCTTTTTTTCTCTCTGAAATTTTAATTGAATATGTCAATATAAGATACCTTATTTTTATTTTTTAATCACTGAACATGCCTAAGAATATTTTCAGTAACAAAATTTGATAGATATATTTGCTATGTTTGATTATCTGATAATACTTTTTAAATTTAAATTTAATCTAATTTTGGTTTAATTAGGCTTCTATTTTTTAAAAAATTGTTGATTCTTATTTCTAGGGTGCTTTTAGAATTTTTACATATTTTTAGAATTCAAATTGCCTACTTACCTAGTCATTTAATTCATACTGTGGCAATGGTATCCATTTTAATCTTACACTGCTATTGAAATACTCTTGAAATTCTATATTTCACAATTACTTGAATATTTTGTCATATTAGATAGCCGCATACCTGAGTTTACCATGAAGTCTGTTAGTTAGATCCAGAGATAGTGATACTCAACATAGAGCCATTAAAATCAGTGCAACAGAAGTTCATTATGACCCATTGGTTTTAATATTATTTCCTTATCTCTATGCTTGGTAAAAAGCCTCAGCAATTTTTATCCAGTTTTCAGAATACATATTTGCACTCTATGGCTCAGAATGGCATAAAACTAGCATGGAAGTTTGACAATGGCTTTGAGACAGCAGGACAGTTTTAGTGTGGGAGAAATCAGTTGGACATCCCTCTTCCCCTACTTTATATTACCTATATCATTGTTTGGTAGCACAAAATTTAGTCATAAATTTTGAGTGAATAGAAGTACATTCATTTTGGAGAATGTTAAACTGGAACCCTGAATGGATATGCCAGTAGAAGAAACAATAGGGATAGTGGTACAATTCAGCATAAACATTTTGGCATGGATTTTCAGAGGGCACACTATTTCATATTTCATAACTAACAGAGCTTTTGCAATCCTGAAACAGCAATCTGTGCTCATGTTCCTGTCCACCAAGTCTTCACTGTTTATCATGATCTGGCCATCTTCCCAACTATAGCCTAACCAACAATTTCCATACACTCTGATTTCTTGATGCCTACACAATAGGTCTAAATGGAATATGAGAGAGAACGATACTATTATATATAGAGTACCCACTGATAGTACAGTACTGAACTAGAGGTAATCCTGAATTTGGTCCAGCAGCTTGTGTAAGATGTGGTTGAGATGCCATAGATTTTAGCATAAATCATCTAAAAGGCATAGCAAAGATCTTACATAATTTCTGTCCAAACACTAAAGGATGAAGGAGTATATCTGGTATAAAAGTTAGTTCCAGCCTTAACTTACGTAACTGGACTAGAGATCATCAGACAACAGGGATGAAAAGAAAGAAGGCATTTTGTATGGAATGAAGCTGATGGTGTTGCTTCTTGACCTGTAAAGACAAAGGTAGCCCATGGAAGACCAAGCGCAGAACCAGTCTTCTCCACTCTTCCTTGGATGGGGAGAGGCTTTGGCCACTTTACACCTTTCTCTGTTGGGGAAGTTGTAGAGCAGCTGAAGTGAGAAGCTCTTCCAGATCCTCCAGATGGGTTGACTACAATGGTGGTTGTACCTGATGTAGGCTGTCCTGAGCCTCTTAGAGAATAGGTCCTGACAGCCTTTTTTGCAGTTACTCCTGGTGGGGCAGAGCAGGACTATTGAGAACAATATGAGACCTGAGGGTGAGGCCTTGCTTGAGGCCCTGCTGACTGGTGGTTCTTCATTCCTACTCTTTATGCTACTGCATCACTCGTGGATCCCTCTTTCTACCCATTGAAGACAACCCAATTATTGCACAAAAATACTTCGGATGGGCATACTACTTTAACTCATATTAGTTTAGTTTGCTCCATGCAGCAAATATTACTGATATACTTCTTCCAGTCCAATGACCCAGCACTTATCAAATCCAATAAACCTGATAGTCCTGCACTGCTAATCCTGGTATGCAGGCTGAGTCTCTTGAGAGTTATGAAAGTGTGAATTGCTACTTGCTTTTTCCTGCTAAGTTTTTTTTTATGTAGCAGTTCCAACTTGAGAGTGTTTTCTTCCATCTATCCAAGACATTTAATCATCTCAAGCAAGTAAAATAAGTCATTCTTGCTTTCATGTTTCTCTCTTTTTTTAATTACTATTACATTGTTTTTGAACTGCTTCTTGAACATTTCATTGTCATACAAAAGGAATTGGTCTGCGCTTCCAAATTAATATGAATACCACTTCATATGGCTCTGAGTTTTGAAGTTTTATGCAACTTTTTCATTCTTCCCCTCCTAACCCATTTTTAGCTAGCTGTATTTAATAAGCTGGCTTGTATGGTGCACACAACATATTATAGAAGAAAAAGAGAAGTGCTCTGCAGATTGTACCTACTTGTTTTATCATAAGATGTGAAAAAAAATCAGAACAGTTGTCTGCTTTTATGATATCCTTTTATTTTATAATAAAGGATTCAATTTGGCCAAATTCTACTGTTGTGCCTACATAAAATAGCATCCTAGCTTCGTTCAGGACAAATTTTGTCCCAGAGAATATGCTAAAGTTTGTGCATCCATTGATTCAGCTACAGTTCAGTGTTTCAATGGCTCTTATGTTGTGTGTTTGCAAGAGTTTGGGGTAATAGCTATACCTATCAGATACCTGCCTCTTTCTCTCCTTAGATAGTCTCCAGTTTCAAAACAACAACATCCAGAGCAATATGCCAGCTAGTGAAAGAGTATATTGGTCATCGGGATGGCATTTGGGATGTCAGTGTCACAAAAACTCAACCTGTGGTGCTTGGGACAGCATCAGCCGGTAATAATCTTATCTGTTGTTTCAGCCACAGATTGTGTTCTCTCTTTCTAATGATTACATTAGATCACTTATGGTCCAGGCTTCATTCCCAGATATCTATCCTGTCTGTCTGTCTGTCTGTCCGTCCATCCATCCATCCACCCACCCATCATCCACCTATCCACTGTTTTAATTCCTCAATTCTTTTTTAAATTCTCACAGATCACACTGCTTTGCTGTGGAGCATAGAGACAGGAAAGTGTCTTGTCAAATATGTTGGGCATGCTGGATCAGGTAAGAATAAACCATTATTGGTGAACAAGAATCATTAGGGAAAATTATTTATTGTATTGGCATGTATGTTGAGTAAGTGGAGTTGGCTCTTCCCAGGACTTGAGATGAGTGTGCAATAGGACTGTGGGTGGAAGGTTTAGAAACTTCCTTGTGGGAGCCATCAGGGCCTTATCCATCCTGTGCATCCCTCTTTGGGTGTGCCATTTTAGTGAGCGTGAAAAATAAGTAGTTTGCTACAATTCAGATATGAGAGTTATTAAGAAGATAAGGTCTGTCTTTAAAAAATCTTCATTATCACATTACAAAGACTAGGTGGTAGAATTCTGTCATGTATCATTTCAGATAGAAGGTGGGGAATATTAGTTTTTTAAAAGATTCATGTAAAAGGCTCATTGTTTGCAGTGCAGTCGTGTTTCCTAATGTACGCATAATCCCACAGCTAGTTCTTGTCTGATGCTCCTTATGTCTGGAGTCATTCCCCCAGCAGCCCATATTATTTATGGAATAGCTCTTGATGGATCAGGTAGACTTTTCCTTCTGTTGAGAGATTTTGCTCAGTGGTGCCCTACAAAGTATCTTTTTACCCTCAGCTGTCATGCTTCTAGTTTGATACTAGAAGCACTTGAAGTTCCCTCTTCCAAAAATAGTTTTACTCTTGATTTTCTTCAACCCTAATTTTCCTGTATGATAGTATAAGTAGAGAGACCTGGATCAAACTGGAAATTAGAAAGGACTAACTTCTCCTCTAGTTCACTGAAAGTACATTAAATGGTTTTTCCACCATACCAGAATCCCAGGTGTACCATAAACCTATTCCCACTTAATCTGAAATAAATTAGGTGTTCTTCTAAATTTGTCTGGTCTAATATGTGTTTTTTTCCTTAACACAGTAAATTCCATAAAGTTCCATCCAACTGAACAGGTGTCTCTTACAGGTATGGAAACAGTGTTTATCCTCCCAAATTATGTTCACTAGATACTTGAGAAAAAAACTGCCTCCTGCCTATAGGTTGCTTATAAATATACAGGTGGTTTGTATATGGCCACAGGAAGCTGCCTTGTACCAAATCAGGTTATTATGAACATAGGAGTCCTACCATTGTGGCTCTGGGACTTGAGGACAACAGCGATCTTTTTTTCCTAGAAACTGGTATTTGGAAGCATGTTATATTTGATCCTGAGGGTAACTCCTTTGTAAAAAAAAGTATTTTTATCTGTCCTGATTCTCCCATTGTTCACATTTGTTGGTTCATCTAATTCATTGGGAGCTGTGTTTCAAGAGTTAAGACAGAAGTCTTCTCAGCCGTCTATTACTGTTCAAGCTTTTGTTTACCTTGTAAGATTCTCTACTGTATTGTCTTTCTGGTTTGGTACTGTTCTACGTCACAAACTGTTAAGAGTTACAGTTTTAGATTTATTTATTTTTATTGTATTATTTATTTGCTCTGTTCACTTTCTATTAAATATACTTGCATGTGAAATATTAGACATTATACTTATATCAGTGGGATGATTATTTTGTTGGGGTGTTTAAATAGGAGAGGAATGCAGACCTCTTCAAATTTTTTAATTATAGGAAATTATGGTAACTTTTGTGTACTTCTAATATTTCTACATCGTGCCTGTCTTTTTCTCCTAGACTCGATATGTTTTTAGCCCTACTGATAATGAGAAAATGGAGCTTTAATCTATTTAATGTGGCTGAACTTACTGACATATTAAATAGAGCCATTGTAATGTAATGGTTAGAGTGTTGGGCTAGGTTTGGGGATCTCTTGGCCTAATCTAATTTCCTGCTAAAGTGAGGAGGTGTAGAATCATGTATAATGTCCTAAGTTCCTGGAGGAAAGCCAGGATATAAATGTCATAAATAAATACTTAAGACTGTAGCGTGACAAGGAGTAGGAGACTACTTTGTTAGTATGCATGAATATTTTGTTGATGCTGACATGCAGATTTTGGGATAGCTAAGTATTAAAATATAGAACATTTGAGCTTGTTCATGTCATCTAAGTCCTTACTGATCCTTTCTTATTTATTTATATCAATTTATGTGGCCATCCATCTTATACTATAAAGTCTCAAAATAATGAGCCACTTAATAGAGACTAATCACATTTAATAGTGATTTAGTACTTCAACCAGGATGATAAAATCACCATGACCATTGTTCCAAAGCCTTCCTATTTTTTTACACCATTTGCTAGTCTGAATATCATGGCAAAAAAGGTTTAATCAATAATCCATACCAAGTGACAAGCTAGTATCATATCATTATTTAAAATATTGGTTTGGGGAAGGGTTCTTTGACCTGATACCCTCCAAATGTATTGGACTTCACCTCCTGGAGTTACACCCCAGATTGGAAAAGGCTGCAGGCTGGCTTAAAAAGATTAGCCCATTCATACATTATAATAATTTAAGAGGCTTATATATTAGAAAAGAAAGCATTAAGAAAGAGGGGACCACTTACACTTATTGCTTGCTTCCAGTCCTCTCCTGCTTTGGAGAACTAAAAATGTGAATGGTTGTTCATAGATTCTTAATTTGTTCTGCAGCTTCAGGAGACCAGACAGCTCATATTTGGAGATATATGGTACAGTTGCCCACCCCTCAACCTACCGCAGACTGCAATGTAAGTCATGATTTCTGGTATGATTTCCAGGGTTCTGAAGGTAGTTTTTATGCCGGACTTATCTTTGCAGATGTATATTAGTATTGGAGAAAATGCATCGTTTAACAGTTTTGTTCATTTATATTATTTGGTATGTTGTTGAATGCCTTCTTTAACAAATGATGGCACGGCAGCATCTGGGTCATAAAATTCTGAAATCATGATTAACCCTAGCATCAGTGGAGGCTAACTTGTATGTGATGGTATTAAAACCAGGAACTGTGGAGTCACACCTTTAGTATTTACAGCAACTATATTGTTTTTCAGCAGATCTGATGTCCACAGCCAGTTTCCTTGAAGCAGTGCTAGAAGTGCCAGTTGCCATGCAAATGCAGTGCATGACTACAGGGTGGCATATTGTATATTATTTAATAAAAGCTTTATAAACACTTTAAAAAAATATGCTTGGAACAGTTTAGAAGATCAGTGTTTTTATCTATATACTACAGATGTCCCAAAGGCCCAAAGTAGTTTAGAAACTGAAGAATAGCATCCAAATAGGTATAATAGGTACATAAAACAATATTTCATTGCAAAATTCATCCAATAATAAACTTTCCTTTCTGCATTTTCTTTCTGTGTCTTTCATATTCTTATAATATGCCAAGCACTTTAGCTCTTCTTTTTCTCTTCAGAGACCTTTGTGTTTTCCAGAGGTGTTTTTGATGTCAAAAATTAGTTGTACCAACTCTGTTGGAATCCACATTTAATGTGGCAAATTTCATGCAAATTAAATATTTTCAAAATTAACAGCAAATGTCTGGCGAAGATGAAGTTGAATTTTCTGATAAGGATGAACCTGATGGAGATGGAGATGGCTCTAGTGATTGTCCCACCATCCGAGTTCCTCTGACCTCCCTAAAAAGCCATCAGGGTGTAGTCATAGCAGCTGATTGGCTGGTTGGAGGGAAGCAAGCAGTGACGGCTTCGTGGGACAGGACAGCCAACCTGTATGATGTGGAGACATCTGAGCTTGTGCACTCTCTAACAGGTATCTTTGGAGGAGGGAAGTTTTATCTTTTTTTTCTTTTTCCTTATGTTGGCTGGTTGTTTTGGGCCACTACTTTTCTGTGGACGTAGTAATGCAGATTGTTTCCTTGAGAGCAAAGAAGAGTGAATGTCTCCATTTATGACAGTTGTGAGCTTCCAAGATGTCATATGTCATTTTTCTGCTTCTTTGAAGTCAGTCATTTTGCTTATCTTGAATACTTGGGAAACCATATAATCTGAACAAGAAAACTTCAAAGAGAAAATACCGTATTTATCGGCGTATAACATGTGCTTTCCCCCCTAAAATTTGGGGCTGAAATCCTAGCTGTATGTTATACGCCAATATACCCTGCGGCTTCTCAAGTGGCAGGGCTGGGAGAGCAAAGCGCCAGTGGCTGGGAGAGCATTCCTTTTTTGGCAGCTGCTGCAACCCAGCACTGCTGCTCCAGGTGGCTGTGCTCCAGATGGCTGCACATGGAGGCATGGAGCCCACACCGCACCGCCCCGACAAGGGGATTGGCGCTCCTCTGAAGGCTGCACTGCACCGTTGGGAGCACGGGAGACTCCGGAGACGCGAGTTCTCCAGCACTCAGTGTCAGAGTAAAGCGCAAAGAGCAGATCCGCAGCAGCTCCTCGGTTTGCTAAAACGGGGGGGGGCAGGGGGCCGCGTGCCACCTATTCCCCGGGCCTCTGATTTTGCAAACCAGCTGCTGTCCCGAGCACACTGCGCCTGGAGGAGGAAGAGGTAAAGGCTAGGGTGTGTGTGTGCATGCGCGTGTGTGTTTGTGTGGTAATCCTCCCCTGCCGCTGGTGATTTTGAGAGACTCGCAGAGAGCGGAGAGGGCTTGGAACAGGAAAGCCAGGAACTCCCGGGCAGAGCGGGGCGCTTCCCTCCGCACCGAGCCTCTGACTTTGCCTGGGCTGAGGGACCGTGCAGTCCAGAGAGGTGAGTGTTGCGCGCTGCACCGCGCCGCATTGGCAAGGCCGCTGGAGAACTCGGGTCCCCGGATTCTCCTGTGCTCCCCCCAACAGCGCAGCCTTTGGGGGGGGGAATAAAAACTGCACAAGCACGCGCACACACATACACACACATACATACTAGGATTATATATATAGGAAGAAGGCAGTGGCAATCTGTTTTTGTACTACATGCAAAAAACTGTGCGGTTGTCTCCATATAGTATCAGGACATGTACTTGACTCAAGGGAGACTAAATGAAATAACAATGGTAATTTCACTGTTTTTGTCATGTCCAGCACAAGAACGACAATGAGGCAGTCCGGTCCAATGTAGTTCCTTTATTAGCTTGCTCCTAATAGACAGAATCTCGCCAGACTAAACCTATGCTAAAGCAACTAGTGGATATACCCATAGTGTGAGATTCTAGGGAGGGGCTGCCCTCATCCTCTTTTTCTTCCCACGTTACTGCTGTGGACTGAGAAAGGGCTTGCTCTGGAATGTTCCTCCTCCCTCCTGATAACCTTGATCCTCCATTCCAGTATCTTCCTCGCTCATGCCACCCATTACAGTTTTATTTACATAGATTGTGAATTTATTTATATTTTTGAATGAGATTTTTCTTGCAAAATTGCCTTTATTTTTGTATAGCATTTTTATTTCCAATCCTTATAGTTGTATAGTTATCCTTGTACAGTTACTATACAATCTTAGTGCATTCTGGGTTTATCATTAAGGGAGCAATCAAATATTTCCCTTCACTAGATGTAAAAATGCAAAAAAGTCTGCCTGATTAAAAAAGATTCTGTGTAATATTCTTTGCTAAAATTTGGTTCACTTAAACAGTACAGTGAAATTGCTAACAGGCTTTATGCTTTGTTTTAGGATTAGCAAAGTAAATACTAGTTGATCCCAAAATGTTTGTTCTTTTTTTTTCCAAATAATTTTATTAGAGATTACAAATAGAAAAAATAAAAAATACAGACTACAAAAAAATGCAAGAATAAAGAAGAAAAAAGTGTGAAAAAGAAAAAAAAAAGGAAAAAAAGGAAAAAAGTAACTTCCCCCTTCATCACAAAAAGTATAAACAATTTTATAATGTATCATCATCTCATAAAATACAACATATGCTCTCTTCACCTCATATCTCATCTCTGAACTAAAAACAAAATCCCCAGACCTTGTCATTTGTTCCTTATCATCAAAAGTCCAGTAAGAGTTACCAGATATAACTGTCTCTTTTAACCTTGATCAAATAAGCCAACTCTGCATTCCTTCCCTTAACTTTTAACAATCTTGATTTTTAACTCCTTCAAATAAAGTCCCAGAGCTTGAGTACTTTTCAACTTTTTTTTGTCCCTTTCAAGGAATCTTCCAAAACTTTAACAGACCTGATTTGTACATCCAGTAAAAAAGGTTGTCCTTTTTTTGTCATTTCTTAAAAAATTCTTCATGACTTTAACAGACCTCTTTTGTACATCCAGTAAGAAAAAGTTACCCAAATCGCTTTTCTGATTTAACAGTTGTATATCACCTTTAAGCAATGAAATATCAACTGGTTTTGTTTATATGTCCAGTACATCTTCCATATGCATCTCATTACTTGTCACATTTAAATCCACATTCAAATTAATTTCAAACATATTCAGTGTAGCTTATTCTTCTTCTGTAACTTCGATGACAGACCATCTCTCTATCATATCAGATAATTTTGAAGACTGTTGTTCAAAAATACCCATAAAAAATTCCACCGTTAGAGTATCTTGTTCCATTTTTAATCTTTAATAAAATCTTATCTTCTAGTTCCCTGTAGTGTCCAACCTTCCGTATCATGTTTTCTTTTAAAGAATCCCAATCACTGTTTCCCATGGGAAGGATTCCAAAACTTTCTGAAATCAATACTCTAAGCACTCTTTTGCTGTTTAATCCAAAAAGTGATATTTTGTCCAAAATTTTAAAATCATATTTAAAAATTCTTTATCCAAGGAGAAGGTGACTCACCCAGTGAATACTGTAGGGTCTTAATATTTCAAAGGCAATAAAAAAAAATCAAATCCAAAGTGATTAAGAAATGAGGTTGGGTTGAGCTTTTTGTCCTTAAAAAAGGCTGCGTTCATGACTGAGCAAAGATGGTTCCTCCCTCGACTCCCAGTTGCTCATTGATTCCTGTGGTCTGCTCACGAGGAGCAGCTGTGCGGAGTGCATGTGGGCTATCTCAAGATCTCCCCTTTCTCTGGGGAGATTTCAACAGCCCAGATCCTGCATCCAGCTGCTAATCCCTGTCACAAATGCCATCCAGCTGCAGGAGGGACGTCTAGCTCACCATTGCATTCTCACCAGAAGTTCCAAAATATCTAGGTAGCTTTCCTAAACCTGGGATGGAAACATTGTTCGATGTGGCTAAATTGCAACTCCCAGCATCTCTCACCAGTTGCTGGAAGTTGAGGTCCATCATCTAGAACTGAGATGGGCATCCTTTTGGTTCATCCGTTACACTTAACGTTGAGGTATGTGAGGGTTACATTGGATATGGCGGCAATGCAAAGTGGGCAGAGCTGTGTTTCTTTCATTTTGGGGTCAGGGGATGGGGTTTCCTTTGAAAAAAAAAGGGTTAACCTGTTTTAGGGCCTTATATTCCTGCTCTCCAGCATCCTGCCTCAAAATGATGGAGACTGTACCACCAATTTCTGTGCCATAGAAATGAGTTAGCATAATTGGAAAAGCTCTAAGGACTAGGGAAAAAAAGAGTGTGTTTGTGTGCGCATTTAGAGATTTGAAGGCTCTGCAGCCATAATCCTAACCCTAAACTGTTCCTTGTTTTTTGGCCTTGGCATTGTAGAGCTTGTGTGTTTCTGCTGGTGACAAGTTTATCATTTTCTGATAGTTTATTGGAAGGTCATATGACTGTAGTTAGAGATCCTGAAAGATGAATGGACTAGCTGATTTATAGACTTTGCAACATTATGGTTCTGGAATCCTAAAGGATTAATTAATATTTAAATAGTTGCTGTAAGTCTACTTTTATAGGGAGTAGTTTTAGCAGCGAAGAATTAAACTGCATAGAACTGATAACTTGGTTTAACATTTCTGTCTGAAGCTTTCTAGTCATGGAGGCCAACTTGGTAGCTGGTCTATGCAAAAATGCTTATGGGATTGCCACAAATAAGTAAATGTCTACAGAGAGCAGACTGTGTTATGTGATTTTAAAAGCTTGCAAGGAGAGGTGCCCCCTGCCACATTCAGGGAGCTTCTATTTAATCAAGGGCTCAAGCAGCCCATTTTCATATTGGTGCTCAAAAAAGTTTTGTAGAATAAGTCATGTCCGTCCTCAGAAGAGTACAAAGTGACAGAAGGTTGAACCCTTACTTTTTAAAAATGTCTGTATTTAGATGAAATGAGGAATCTAGTCCACATTATTCCAGTAGGGAATGAGTAAGATTGGAACATAATTGTAATTTACCTTGGGCAAACCTATTTTGCCAAGACCATTTTGGTTACCATCAAAACATAATTGTTTCTCTGATGTTCTTTTTTTGTGAGTAGGTTTGGCCTTTTCAGAGTCATAATGTTTTGTCTGTGGTTTTAGGACATGACCAAGAACTTACACACTGTTGCACCCATCCCACCCAGCGCCTTGTGGTAACTTCATCACGTGACACAACCTTCCGTCTATGGGATTTCAGAGACCCATCTATCCATTCTGTGAACGTCTTTCAGGGCCATACAGAGTAAGTGACAGCTTTGTCCTAGAATTTTTAAGTAAGAATTGTATTTGACTACCTGTGTTGGAAAGCTTTCTATCCTCTGGATTTTTCACGCGAAGTTTTATGCTGAGTCTGTTTTTAGTCTGAGTCTTTTCTTTCCTGCTTTCTGGCCTAATTAAAGCTTTAATGAATGCTGAGGAAAAGTAAGATACATTCATCTTTTAGTTCAATCAAGTTTGAGAGGTTGCATACATTTTCAGTTATTTCTTCTTAAAATGTCACATCTGTGGATAGATCAATTTTATTAGGCTTTGACTAGTAAATAAAACAGAGAAAAAGGGGGGAAAGTGAATTAAAATAAACACAAATGTGCATATACAGGAATCTGTCTTAAATGTTATTGTGTCTGTGTTGTGTCATGGAATAAGCTGCTTGTGACTGTGTCAACATTTCCTCCTGCATGTTGAGTCCTTCTTTAGTTATTCTAATAATCATTTTATCATATATCCTGATACATTTTTCTTTGTCACTATTTTATTTATGGGCATTTGTTTGTTTACCTGTTTGCCTCTGTATATCTTAGCATTTTATTCTTATAGAGAGAATACTTAATGTAAACCAGCTATGTGTCACAAAGCTCAAGAATGAATTGTGTTTGCTTCTTTACTATATAATCTATTTGTATACTGCTTTCCACTGGTCCAAATCTTGAAGGGGTGATGTCACTTCTGTTATCTTTGGCAGTGCCATGAAGCTGAATATATGAATGGATACTATGAAAACTTACAGGTAGTCCTCACCTAACAACCACAATTGGGACAGGAATCTCAATTGTTGCAGGAAGTGGTTGTTAAATGAGACACCCACATGACTGATTCTCTCAGTGACAATCCAGGCACTCCTGGTTGTGGTTGTTAAGTGATCTCCCGGGTTATCAAGCAGATGGAGCGAAAGAGCTGTCTGCTGAAGGATTTCAGCTCCACGCAGAGCTGAAATCCTCCTGGCAGGCAGCTCTTTGAGACCAAAAGGGCTGCCTGCTGGACAGTTTTCAGTTCACCTCTACACAGAGCTGAAATCCTCCTGGCAGGCAATCCTTTCACTCTCAAATGTTCCTGCAGCCCGCCAAAGAGTTTGCCCTCCCCTCCGTGGATGGAGGGGAAATCTTTTGTGGGGCTGGAGGAACGGAGCTCAGATCTTCAGGATTTGAGCTCCTGCACACTGCTGAATGATTTCGCTCCATCCCTTCCGCTTACAATCTTCCCTGCACTGACTTTCTGGGGAAACCGACAGAGAAGATTGTAAATGGCAATCACATGATTGCAGGGCGCTTGGCAACCAGTTGTAAATGCGAGCTGGTTGCCAAGCGCCCAAAATACGGCCACGTGACTGCGGGGAGGGTGGCACAATGTTTTACGATGACTGGACATGCTTTATGGGCGATAAAGCACCCTTTCTGAAGCTGTCGTAACTTTGAACCATCGTAAACAAATGGTCGTTAAGTGAGGACTACCTGTAAAACGTTTCTTGTTCAAGGAGTTCTTGCATTGAAACAAATGCAGAATCTCCCATTCAGTTATTAATTTTTTTCTCATAGGAAGTCTGGGACAGTATGTGAGTATATTCTCAGTTTCTTTCTGGGAAGAATTCATGATCACGTAATAGCTTGGCTATTGGCATTCAAAAGGTGCAAAGAACATAGATTTTCTTTTTTAATGTATCTAGCATTGCATTGAAATCTGCATTTATTTGCTGATTATAGTTTGTAACATTGATTCTATAAAACAATTTCTTTTAAAATCTTGGAGCTTACTTTTAAATGGCAAAGAATGCCTTTTCATTTTAAAGGCCTAGATAGATAATATTCATCTACTGATTTTATCTATAGAGAATGTATATCTAGAAGAGGTTGGATACAGAAGTGCCCTTTGATAGGTGCAGAAGACATTGTACAGCTCGTGCTATATCATTCTGCATGAAAAGTGAAAGTCAAATCTTTTTTTGAATGCTGCTGCTCTCTAAAAAATGGAGTTGCATGTTCTTTCCATGGACAAGTGGCCACTTGCCAAGATGCTGAGCTTATATTAGTGAATATGATGGCATATTTTTAAATCACAGGTTGTAAATTTACAGCTGAATAACAGAAAAACCCACAGTTTGGGGGACATCGGTTCTTTCCAGCAGGTGGCGCCTTAATCCTGTTTGAAACTCAAAATGAAACATATTTCTTTCTCTGTTTAGCCTTATATGGTGTCTGTGAGGAACGCCATGCTTAACTGGCTTAACACAGCAGTATGGAGTTCGTTGAGTTTTTTTTTTTTTTTAAAGCTTTATGAGCATGTTTCAGTAGGAATGTGCAAGTGCGTTGATTTAAAGTTATGTCTTCTAGGAAAAGGAAAAAACAGCATGGAGAAATAAGCACACTTTCTTCTGGGGCTTAATGACTTTATATCAGTTGGTGATGGTAATGAACTTTCATATGGTATTAATTGAATATACATAGCACTCAGAATTAATTTGCTCTAATAAAGTTGTTGTGTGGGCTTAGTGATACAGTGCTGCTTTGTGTCCAGAAGGTGTCAGCTTCAGTTGTAGCATCCCCAGGGAGCCTGGCAGAAGAGTATCAGGGCCAGTGGCTGCAGTCAGTGTTCTGCTAGATCAGTATTTCTCAACCGTGGCAACTTGAAGATGTGTGGACTTCAACTCCCAGAATTCCCCAGCCAGCCATGCTGGCTGGGGAATTC